TACTAAACACACCACTCCTATCTAGTGTCACATTAGCTTGACCGCGCAGTGCCCCAAATTTGCAGTAAGAGGACCGACCAAGCCTCTTCTTCCATCTCCCTGTTACAAAAATCAATGCCGTATTCACGTCCACTGATAGGAGACGCGGAAGGTATTAAACTGATAAAAATAGTACTAAACACACCACTCCTATCTGGTGTCACATTAGCTTGACCGCGCAGTGCCCCAAATTTTCAGTAAGAGGACCGACCAAGTATCTTCTTCCATCTCCCTGTTACAAAAATCAATGCCATATCCATACAAATTGTACAGAATGTCCAGGATAGTTTTCCAGGGACAAATGTTGTCGCCTGTTGAACGAGGTGACCTTGCTCGGGTCCCAGGTGTACGGTTCCTAAAATGGCTGCCATATACACGTCCACTGATAGGAGACGCGGAAGGTATTAAACTGATCAGAACAATACTAAACACACCACAAATAAGGTTTCTCTCCTGTATGGCTCCTCAAATGATGCTTAAGATTAGAAGCGGCTGAAAAGCATTTCTCACACTCAGAACAAAATATATTTTTTTAACATTCTCTCCACTTTGAACGAAATGACGTTTGGGAAGAGATTAACATAATTAAACACAGGCAGTAAAAATACAGTTTTTAGCCATACCCTGTAACTTTAAAACTACACATCCATCTTCATAATTACATATTTGGAATCAGCACACTTAAAACATAAACATAACCAAAAATCAGCCAAATCCATCCAGGGGTTAAAAAGTTAGCTGGAGGTCCCTTTATGACCGACGCAAGCACATTTTCCTGCCCAAAACAGTTCCATAGATTTGGGCTGTGAGGTCGGTCTATTTCAGGCTGAAAAAACGACTAAGTCCCATCGCGAATGGGACTTAGTCTCTGCAGCTGAAATAAGGCTGAAAAAAACGGCTGAAAAAAAGACTAAGTCCCATCGCCGAATGGGACTTAGTCTCTGCAGCTGAAATAATTTCCCATTTACTGAACCAAGTGGGAAATAGCAAGGCAGGCACAAAGGGTTTGCACCAGGTCTGGGGACACAGGGGACACCGTCTTAAAGGGGCCGTGTCCCCAACAAGTCTGGGGACAGGGCCTTAAAGGGGCAGTGTCCCAATCTTCCTGATGTCCCAAAAAAGGTGTTTAAAGGGCCAGCACCAGTCACATAAAAAGAGTCCATAAGCCCCAATATGCCCACCGACAGTCTTAAAGGGCCATACACACCAAATAAAAGTGCATACATTTTCACAATCTCCCAGGGGCCATAGTCATGCGGGAGGAGGCTGGCAAAGAGGCTTCTCCACAACCCAGGGAAACAGGGCAATTTGCCATTTAAAGGGCCCGTTACAAATAGCAGTTTGTAACAAGGTGTCAATCCATATCTGCCAAGTGACCCGATGTAGGGGGACCAGTCCCTATTCTGCTCTGTGTCAGTGTGTACCAGGGAACCTTAGGACAGGTGTCAATCCATATCTGCCAAGTGACCCGATGTAGGGGGAACAGTCCCTATTCTGCTCTGTGTCAGTGTGTATCAGGGATCCTTAGGACAGGTGTCAATCCATATCTGCCAAGTGACCCTATGTAGGGGGACCAGTCTCTATTCTGCCCTGTGTCCGTGTGCATCAGGGGCTCTGAGGACAGGTGTCAATCCATATGTCAAGGTGTCAATATGTCATATGTCAGGTGTCAATCCATACTGATTGTGATTTAGGAATGTTAGGTGATTTCTGCCCTTTATGGATTAAAACCAGACTCTGTATCAACTGTGTAATTTTCCATGGGAGTTTTGCCATGGATCCCCCTCCGGCATGCCACAGTCCAGGTGTTAGTCCCTTTGAAACAACTTTTCCATCCCTATTGTGGCCAGAAAGAGTCCCTGTGTGTTTTAAAATTCGCCTCCCCATTGAAGTCAATGGCGTTTCGGGCGGTTCGCCGGTTCGCAAACATTTGCGGAAGTTCGCGTTCGCCGTTCGCGAACCGAAAATTTCGGGTTCGCGACATCACTAGTCCTGACATGTCATATGTTATGGAAAGATTAAGCAATACGTAGATATTTACTGAAAGTGATTCCTATTAATGTATGAAAATAATTACACTGTCACTTTCTAGTCTTACATCCTCCTGTCTTAAGTTCCGATCCAGTACTAGCACAATATTTAGCATAACGCAATACAAAATAAAGTGGCTCAATCCTCATTTTCCTACAGAGCACCACAATTATGGAATAACCTCAGGGACACAGTCAAATCTTCATACAATCTAAAATATTTTAAGAGATTTATGGCAATATACCTCAGCACAGAATGCACCTGTCATGGTTGAATATATTTATTACCTGT